GATGGCCCTGAGAATTGTGACTGCAAGATTCCCTGTTAAAATAATTAACAACTTTGGACTGCGTTATTTCATTACATGTACAGTACCGGTAGACAACATGATAAATAGACTTCATAGAAAATTAGAGGAGGGACTTCTATTTGCTACACTTACATTTCAGCTACTGTTTCTCTTACACAGAGTGAAATGGTGCCTTTGCCTAAGGGTTCCTCTTCCTGTTGTGTCTCCAAGTTTGAAATGGGATCGGTAGGTCCCTCAATGGAAGGAGAACTTGTTGGTGGGAATGATCTAGACAAAGTGTCGTCACTTGCAGTTGCTCTAATTTCTGTTGGCTGTGTGCTGTGAAGAAATCAGTTTTTAGATACCTTATTACCTTTGCAAGAATCTACATGTATTCAGCACAGGGCTTAAATGTCTGCACATCAGAAAAACTTGGGAAGGTTCATTTTAGCTAATGCATATGGGAAAATCCAGTTGCATGGGTGAAATTAGCCAAAGTGGCATTTTAAACTTTTATTTTCATGTTTTGGTCAACATGAAAAACTTTTTTTGTATCATCTGTGTTGTAAGTCTAAGTGGCTGGGTGGTTTGATTTTTGTATGCATAACCCTAGATTTAAACCAAAAAAAAAATGCCAACAATCACTAATGAGCAAAATTGACAAACTTGCCAACAGCTATAACAGGTATTTGTGGGAAATAGAAGAAATGAAGACTTCTCTTGATTTAAAAAAATTATCTCATTATCTAAAAATCTGTGTGTTATCCTGGGTCAGTTCCATTTTACACTTTTCTAGGTCCTTCTTAAATATTTTTGTGTCCATGAGGGTTCCATCTGGTTCAAAGACCTGTAATTGTGGTATTTCTTTATGTTCATATCCCTGTGTCATTCTTGGAGTTAGGGAGCCATACACAAGTTCTTTGTTGCTAAAACTTGCAGACACAACCCAACGTGATCCAACGTGATGAATGTGAATTCCAGCTGTAACTACAGGTTGCAGGCCTACCCAGGTAAAGCATACGGCTTGGTAAGGTACAGTTACAACATTTAAAACGTTTTCAATAAAATGAGTATCAACTGTTTGTTAAAACATACAGTATTACCTCCTTCAAAGTGGTTGTCAGACTAGAAATGCTTTTAACTTACCAGAGCCTCTTCTCAGCCGGAAATAAACTAAGAGATTATCCCAAGCACCTCTGTGTGCCTACAAACCAAGAAAATAAAAATGCTATGTATATTTTGTACCAAAATACGAAGTAAAACGAATAAATCTTATGTTGTAAGACGTATTAGCGAAGAGATTGTTTCACAGCCCCAAACCAGAGGCCAAGAGGAGTGTATCTTACACTGCAATTAAAACTTGGCTTTTGTATTTCCTGAAAGTTGATTAAAAGGCCCTCTTTTATCCATCTTTCTACACCTTTCCTAGACTTTTTGAATTTTTAGGAAAGGTGTAAAAGATCATCTTTTTTATGGCTTTTATATGGAGAATAAGATGTACAAATGGCCCACTTTTCTTCTCATTTTTTACACACAAAAGGTTAACTTTTATATGCCTTTTGCAACAAAATGTTATCTTTTGTTTGACAGAAAAAGCATTATAAAGATCAACATTCTTAAGACTTTTGCATGTTGAAAGGCATATGAATGGCCCATTTCTCTTACCTTTTTCGTGTCACAAAATCAACTTTTAGATACCTTTTTTTTTCTACGAACATGTGGTATTTCGATATATAAAATGTATGAAAATGGCTAAATTTTGCACACCTTTTTAACACCTTTTTATGTCTTTTAACAAGAGTACATTTCTACTACTTTTGTAGCTTATTAAATGTAATGTTAGTCGCGGGCATAAAATCATATTTTGATAAGACAAAAAAAACATTAAATAAACTTATATCATTTATTGTATGTCATATAAATAGGTTACACTCTCAGTAAATAAAAAAATGTGTGCATTTCCTGGAACATATTCAAATTAAATTACTTCTGGCAGAAGATTCATACACCTTGACGCATGTGCAGTTAAGTTAGAGAGATAGAAATGGCTGTCGTGGTTGCTTTGATAAATCTTTGTCGATTTTTGTGCAACAAGACGTAGAAGATGAGGTTCATATACACACGACAGATATGAGTGTAATCTGATGAACTCCACAGTTCAGAGATATAACTGTAAGTATTGTAGCAATGTCCAGCACAAGGCCAAAATAATAGTTCAATAGTTCATATTTGAGTGTTGAAAGTGTAACTGTAACTGTAAGGAACTGGAAAAAATGAAAAATATCTATTCTTACCAAGAGACTAGACTGTTCTTGTACCTGTTCTTGTACATGAGACATTTCACATGTTTCTTTTGGCTTTCCCACATTTCCGTAATTTTTTCTGTGTTTAACCAAGTGTGTCCCGTCCTGCAGGATCACCGAAGGCTGCCAGCAGCTGGTTGATTAGATTAAATGTTTCTTTCTCACCCCTGGTGGTACGTCTGCAATGCAAAGCAAGCTCTTTCCAAGTCAGTCGTTTCATATTTTCATCTCTGTCAGTTGATGGGTGCAGTTCATTTGCCTTGGCATCAAGTAAGAGCTGGAGGTTGTCTCTGTCCCAAGTGAAGATGTACTTGCTGAGGGTGGACGTGAAGACACTGTATAGGGGGTGGGAATCAGTGGTGCAGCCAGTAGACAGGCGCCTCATAAAATGCCAATGTCCAGCCTGATGACTGTATCTTCCCAACTGTAAAAAATCTTCTTCAAGTTTGTTTTACTAAAACAGTCCCTATCCACATATACCAAAGTTGGAGGGGGTTCTGCTGCATCCCTTCACCTAATAACCAGCCCCTGTGCCATTTTGGTCAAGCCGTGGCCCTCACCTGCAGTCATTACAGAGTTCAGGACTTGACCGTGCTCATTTCCAACATTCGTGCACCAAATAGCGGTCTTGGTTGCCAGGTTGCCATACCAGCTAATTTCTTGACGACCTTTTTAGTTGAATCAAGCATTAATATATTTCCAAACTGACTTGTCAGCACTGCTTTCAGTTCGGGAAGCCTGTCCATGACATTAATGGCATATGCATGCATCAGCCATCTTGGTTGGGGAACATGCCCTCTGGGCGGAGGCTTAACAAACACTGGAGGGGCAATGAGACCTGTCTGGGAAGCTTTGTGAAAGGCGTTGCAGTCCGACCCATACTGGACTATCTTTCTGAGCCAGGCGTCTGTATGTTGTACACGAAGCTTTTTTTGTATTTGTGAGCTGCTGTTTCTTAGGCCCCTTTCTCGTGGAGACTGATCACTTTAACATTGCAGGCCAACTTCGCTGTTAGAACAGCTGGGAAGTAAAGTCTGTGGCCAACATCCAGCTGTTGGATTATGTCCATACTCCAACTCACCAGTTTCCAAACCAATCTAAAAGC